TTCCTGACTCGTGCCTTTCTTTTTCGTGACTCGTGCCTTTTCTTTTTCCTGACTCGTGCCGTTTCTTTTTCCTGACTCGTACCTTTTCTTTTTCCTGACTCGCGCCTTTCTTTTTCCCGACTCGTGCCTCTTTTTCCTGACTCGTGCTTCGTTCGGTAATGCAGGGGCAGTGGGCGGGAGGGGAAGGCAAGGTAGCCGTGCTGCGTTTTCCTGTAAACCACATCACGCACTACATCGTGGAAAGGCTTGCGCAATACGCAAAATTACCAACACCATTACACACACCCTGGCTTGACCTTCTCTAGCTTGCACCGGTTGGTCTCGTGCCCAACCCCATGAAGTATGCAGTGCGACCATATTTCGAACGTAATGCAACGCAACAGCGATATCGCCAGCGCCTGAAAATGCTTCCCGGACTTGTGCTACGACTTTCCGTCTCGTCTCTGTCCTGTGTTGCCAAGGAGAGCCAGACTGCCTCTGGGGTTGGTGGCTTGAGGCGGAGGCTCTTACAGTCGCCAACGCCCATCTGTGCTCGCTCTAGCAACTATGGGCGATGGTTATGGCACCGTCGGCCCTGCATCATTGCACCTTGGTTTCTTCAAGGGGCCTCCCGGACCCCATCCCGAAGGCAGCCTGAAATCAACACGCGCTCCGAAGGCTTCCCCTCTCCCGGTGACGGATGGATTCTTGAAGGATTCTGAACTCTTTTCAGCATCACCCAGACAAGCATCATGAGCACGGACTGTTTTCAAAACTCTCAAGGCCCGTCTTGGGCCAGAGCTGAGAAAAGCGAAGATTTCAACGGATATTTGGGGGCCTCAAATGGAGAAACAGACCCCAATAATGTGTCGTCATCAGCATCATTGGGGTTTTGTTTCTCCTTTTTGGCGCGTTAATCTGCCCGCGCGCTCTAAGGCAGACTTATGGCGTGGGCTGTGACAAGGTTAAACCTGCACGCAATTTGCGTCTGGCGTTGCGCGCCCTTGGCGTCAGCCAATAAATCGGGCAACGCACACGTGTGCCTGCTCCAGCAATGTAGCCGGCTTTGCTGTGAGAGCGTTGCGCGCGCCGTCGACACTACATCATCGGACCTCCGTTTCTCCAATGGCTCTCCCGGACCCGATTCCGAAGGGATTTTTGAAGCTCTTCAGGAGCACCCAACAGCACGGCCTGTTTTCTTAATTAGCGGCCTGCCCGTCTTCGAACGGAGCTGGGGAAGCGCAAATTTCATTAGTATTGGTTCCAAACGCAGAAATGGACCTCCAATGACGCTGATGCCGAGGTATCACTGGAGGTCAATCCTTTCAGTCTGTCTGCGCGCTGGCAGACAGGCATCCTGGTGGAAACGCGCCGCGCGGCGCGCTAAAAACCTGCATGCAATATGCCCTCTAGCGACTTCCCCCCCTGGCAGCCGACTGTAAGAGCACCCATCCTGAAACCGACAAACTTGCAGACCCTTGGCACACCCTGACTGCTGAGTCCCTAATGGCCAATGCGGAGCCATTACAGACCTCCTTCCGACTCAGACGGGGCTGTGCAACTTTTCAAGCCGCGTGCGCCACCTTTTGGAACCAAGTAGACATAAGTAGACTTCCCCAGGATGACTCTCACGAACACACTCTTATGGTGTGGTTGCTTGCCAGTCTCCGCACTCATGGCATCCAGTCGACAATGGCTTGGTTGGCTTCTGTTCCATGTGGAAACCGCATGCTTCCAGGCAGAATCTCTCTCCCTCTTCTTCTTCTTCTTCTTCTCACTGTGCTACCCCCCCCGAGGAGGGGGCTGGGGCAGTGCCCCACACAGGATGCGGTCTCTGGCGACTTACCGTGGCAGGTTCCGATGCTGACTGTCAGTCCCAGGCACGAAGAAGAAGTTGTACAGCTCAGAACCCACGGTAACCTATACTCAATGCGCATTGTCCCTTGCGTCCAGGACTGACAGCGACATCGCTTCTAACCCCGGCGTGAAACCTCCCACCTCTT